GTCATAGAGAAAAAACTTTTAATTCAAGCAGTGGAATGACCAACTAAGCCGTCACTAGGGCACAAAGTGCCGTCAATTATTGTACAAGTAAAATATAAATGACTGAAGCTTACATATAATTTTCAGCTTGCAGTGAATGAAACGTCATATACTTTTCCCAGATCGCTTTCCAATTCAGAAAAATTAAGAAAGTTCAGCTACAAATTGAGTTGTGAACATCCCTGAGAGAAAACCTGACATTTATTGGATATGCTATTTGTGGATCATCTCCCAACCGACCTACTAATACTAAGAGACCACGAAATGTATATAACGCGACCATTAAATTAGACAAGGTAGTGTATATACTTGTACACTGTACCTGGTCCAATTAATTAGTATACGTTTTGAATAATTTGGGACAAGTTAATTCGCCTGAACTGAACGAACAAATAGGTTATCAGAATACAACCCAACCAGAAGGTATTGATTAAATGTTTCACGTTATACAAAACCTTTAATTTCGTTAATTGAATAATCCTCTTACTTTTTAATTAAAAATATTTACCAGGTAGTGTATAATAAACTTTTAATGTGCCTTTAATCCTTTAAAGCCTTGTTTAGTATCATTGTTTCGTATAAAGCGTTTCGAAAGGTTTAACGTGATTGATGTCGAGCCGGAAGCAATTGTGTTTCCAAAAGATTAATAAGAAAATTACGAACAATCGCCGAAGTCACATTGCCAAAAACACACATCTGCACGTAATAGTCGATAAATAATAATACTCCTTTAAGCGCACTTGTGCTGACCGGGCGCCCAGAGACTATTCCAATTTATATTGTGGGTTTGTTTACTACCTTCATATCTTCTATGTAAAGGCCCCTATTAATCCGGCGAATTAAGCCCTTTGTTCATGTCGGTCTTAATTACAAGTTACAAGTAGCTATAAATGTGTATCTACCAAATATCGTTAAACACAATCCCTGTAAAAGTTTCAATGTACTTTAGCCACTGTAGACGTCTATATTGCTTCATTGTACCAAATTTCACGTCGTTTCCTCTTTCGTATACTACAATGCAATCGTTTCGTGTTATTGCTTTTAATTGTTTAAATTGATAAACTTTAAAACAATTACGGAAATTAAAGCACCGGCATCGGCAAACTTTAACTTTCTATTCTAGCTAATCACAATAAACTGTAAACAGTTAGAACAATTAATTTTTTGGTATAACTTTTTGAGTAAGTGGCGCAGAAAAAAATCCTTCCTCGACATCATAACGAACCAAATAGCAAAAAAAGGTCGCTCTTAAGATACAGATCTGAAAGCGACACAGCCCTAAGGCCGAGCAGACGGGCAAACAGATTCACGGACGAGTGTACAATAATGCATTTTTTTTATTGTTGTGGAAATACGATTAGACCTTTGCTCTGCGTACGCGGGATCCATTTTCTTACAAGGTTTCTTTTATAAGAACCATCTTCAGTTAAAATTTCGGAAAACAGTAGTACACAAGTAAGAAAGTTAGATCTGCGCATAAGTCCATTGTGAGATGCAACTTTCTTAAAATTCGACCACAAAGTTGTACATGTGCAATCCATTTTTGACGTGCTCTACTTCAATTTCATTTTATAAGAAGAATCCTACTCTAACAGATTGGTTCACAAATAACGAATATGTATTAGTAGGGGAGCTAGCACGAAATCCACTGAACGAGAATGATCAAAATTTTAACCGATGGAGTTCCATTTTGCCCTATAAGAGTATGCTAAAATCGATCGTCTGCCGCCTCAGGTCATATGACTTAAGGCGCTGCGGGTACTTCTTGCGGTACCAATTCTGAAAGGTTGTTTTTCGAGAAAATAAGTTATACACCAAATCAAAACGTTGATAATAGCTCTTAAAAAAATATTTTAAAAAATCGCGCACATTGGATAACTCCGTAAAAAAACAATTCTTAGTCGGTTTTTCACGAACTTTCTACGGATATAACTAGGTTACGGTTGGACGAACGAAGCTGATTTTTTTTACAGACTGATGATAGGTACTACTAATGACTTAACGGTGTTTCGTTTTTAAATTTTTTCTCTAATTATAAGATTATCTTATTATCTTAACATTATAAGATATCTTATAATTAGAGCAAAAATTTAAAAAAGAAACACTTTCATAGTCATTGGCTGTATCTATTATTAGTCTGTAAAAAAAATCAGCTTCATTCATCCAACCGTAACCTAGTTACATCCGTAGAAAGTTCGTGAAAAACCGACTAAGAATTGTTTTTTTACGGAGTTATCCAATGTGCGCGATTTTTTAAAATATTTTTTTAAGAGCTATTATCAACATTTTCATTTGGTATATAACTTTTTTCTCGAAAAACAACCTTTCAGAATTGGTACCGCAAGAAGTACCCGCAGCGCCTGAAGTCATATGACCTGAGGCGGCAGACGATCGATTTTAGCATACTCTTATAGGGCTAAATGGAACTCCATCGGTTAAAATTTTGATCATTCTCGTTCAGTGAATTTCGTGCTAGCTCCCCTACTATGAGGAATATGCTCAATAATTGTTCTACAGGTTTTTAGTCTGCGTATTTACAGTTTATTTTTTATGTTCATTTAAGTCATTCCTTACTTCTCCTAAAATGACACAAAAATCCGTCCACAAATAAGAAAGTTGGCACCGCAAATGCACAACCTATTCTTTGTCACGTCATTTCATTTTGATATTATAAGAAGCATCTGAACAAATAGAATTTATAAGCACAATACACGGCATGAAAAAATTGTGTAACGAGGCACCCATTTTAGGCCCCGAAGTTCATACCAGAAGTTATGACCGCACCGTATATTTGTGAAGTCGTCCGGCTTTGCTGAACACCGAGCGCTTCGTTACTGAAGAGTTATGTATTTACATTTTGTGAAATTGTTTATTGTACCGCCGTTAAGTGCGTAAGTTTTGTAATGAATTTATCAGTTTTTCCAGTAGGAATAATTAAATTATTCTTACAGCCGCCGAATGCTCTCTTGCCACGCAAGAAAGGAGTCAATTATTATTTTGATATTTTAGCGCCGTTCATTAATTATTAAGCATTTTAGATTTCCACAACAAACGAAAACCAGGATAGTTGTTTACACGTTATCAGTCTTGCGGAGTGGATACGCGACGAGTTGGAATTTCCCTTTTCCACAACCTCCAAATTGGGTTTTCTTTATGAGGTAAATTTCATTTATTGAAATTCGCTTTCAGCAATTTTTCTACTGCTTCATTAATTTTCAAGGTAAACTTTTCTTTAATTACAAAGGGGGGGGGGGGGGATTTTAATACGTTTTCCCGAAATGGTCTGCTATAGAAACCGCTCTGTAACTGTGCCTAATTGTTTTTCTTCCGCTAGGAAAATTGCCAGTTGGCCTTTAACTTTGTTTTAGGTTTACCGAGGTGACCGCCGCCATTTGCTGGATCCGACCGCCGAATTCCTGGACCTACCGTTTCTCCGATTGAGTTTACCCCAGAGGTTACCGAGATCAACCTACAGACCGTTGCCACCGCCGACCTTGTCCGCGCGCGAGATCTTCGGCTGGTGGCGCTCGAGTCCATCCGTCCGTTTCCTGCTGCCGCTAATGAAAGGTCTCAACGAAAGAAATTAATTTCTACCAACCCCTTATCGTGATCGGATATATTCCTTTAAATCTCCAGAGCGGATTGTCGAAAGAGGGTACTTACAAAGGGCGATTGGCGCGTCTAGAAGAAATATGTCCATTGGTAACGTCAAAATTTTAAGAGCGAATATCTCGAAAACCGTTTGTCGGAGGAAAGTAATGAGCGATCAAAAATCAGTTGCTTTCGAGTCGCATTTGGCAGTTCATGTTAAATACGATTTCCCATATAAACAAAAATTCCAAAGGTGACTCGACAGCGCATAGTACTCTCAAAGGCAAAATCTGCAGAATGGAGTGTCGGAGGATTTTGAATGTATACCAGGCGGAGCCACCTCTCCTTATAACCCAACCATTTACTATAAGCTATTTCAGTTTTAAAAAAATGCGTTTTGTCTGCAAAAGAGTTGTGCATAATTCATACTTGTTTAGTAATAAATGCAAGGTAGGTAGGTTGGGCAGACGGATGGACAAAGTGGCCATAATAGCGCCTTTTTTTTATTTTTGTGAAAATGCGTTAGAAATTGTTCGCAAAGTTCTTTCGGAATCGGGTTTTCCGTATTTTTAAAGACCCGATTTTTTTAAAAGAAATAATAATTGAGTATATTGTGCGCCTTGGAAATGCGATCAAACAAATTAAGGTATATCCTTCTGAAAGAAATAGCCCGATGCATGTGTTGGTTGCTTATGCTGCAGAGTTTACCTATTAGGCGACCATGACTTTCGTCAATGACCGTACTACATAAAGCAAGGATTAAAGTCTCCATATGACAAACATTACAAAAGCGAATGTCTATTTTTAGCAGTAGTTTAATTCCAAATTGAACGAGTTTATCGTTTTGAATTTTAATGGGAGATCGCTAGAGAACAACAAAGGAACACCTGCCTTCCCGGAGCTATACCATAGTGTAAAGAATTGCTACAGTACGGCTAATTGACTATACCTATAGGTAATTTTCTCTTTCATGTCTCTTTCTACAAATTATATCCATGTGGTTCGTAATTCGTATTGAAATAAAACATTTCGTGACTTTTTCCTCCGGAATTTTTCCTACATTTAATCAATGTTTCAATAAAGTGCCCTATATTTTCGTACAAAAGCCCTGGTAATTTTGTATGTTGAACAATCCTTTGTAAGCATGTTTGTGAGATTATTGTAAATTGCCATTTATTTATCTTTTTGGGATCAAGCAGAAATTATGAGATACCTACTTGATTCACCGTTGCGCATCTCATAAACGTTTTTCAAAACATTAAACTCAAGGGGACGCATAGTAGAAACGTTCTAAATTGCCTTCAACGTTATCCCTAAAGTTTCATGTATAAACTCATACTTCAAGGAATCGCAGGTTGGTACTTACTTTAGTGTTGACAATGATCCTTGAAGCGGATTTCAGCGCAAGACCTAAAACAAAGAAAAAACAGTTATTATGTGCTTGCTTAGATCGTAAAGCCTATTGTTTGGAACTTTGCATACAGAGCATTATTTAGTACACGCGAAATGAAGAAATTGAAGAGGAAACTTTCTAACGTGATATTAATATAACTTAACAATGTAGTAGATAGATCTAGAGATAGATAGTCTCAGTGCTATATAATACTACAATTTTACCTACCTTGCTGTGAAATTAAAATGAAACTATGTGTACGTTTTCATTGTGCTCTGTTATGAAAGATTTGCAGTAAAAGAATATTGATCTATTTTCAGTGGGGGTACGTATATTCTACACTGAAACTGAGACTATGTGCAATGTGCATGTATACACAATCTGCCCCCCGCCGCCGATTGATTGGTCGTCTCTTGCAAAAAAGAAACAATTTTGAGCTTCTGGGAGTCAACCCAGCTTAGTTGTAAACTAATAAAAATAAAATAATTTTAGTTTCGAAAATCAAGGGTGTCTTTGAAATGTTCAATAAACGTTTTTTGCATACCAGTAAAGTGGTCTTTGGGGAGGAGATACGCTAGCATGAAATTAAATTAAATCAATTATTGAAAGAAAAACTTATTGAGAAACGGCTCCTTTTCCTTTTTTCTTGAATCTTTGGCTTTCCTGGTTAAGGAATAATAACGTGATATTAACGAAAATACATTGTTAAAGGCAAACTCAATCCAACTCTACTTCTTTACAAACTTACCAAATGTAACTCTTCTTTACCAAATTCTAATCAGTGATAACGTCTGATAATTTATAATTTCTTTGCGGTCTATAAACTTTCATACGTTTACACGCTTTAACTGTTTGAAAATAGGACCTTAAATTGGTCACTTTTGATACCACGTGGAAGCTATCTGGTCTCCCCAACGATTACTCTAGGGGACCGTACTGATCGCCCTGAATGCCACCATGCGCCTCCCCCCAAGTCCTCCAAAACCAATCCCCCTCTTGATTTCTGAGTAAAATTTTAAACATTCACCATGGCGTATTATGTTCAAAATGGCGATGCCTAAATTTGTTATTGGTTAGTATATTTCTTACTACCAATCCTAGATGATACTAAAGGTTTTGACACTCATTTCATAACCTCCACGCTCTGCAATTTCCACGTTGACTTTAACTCATGATGAAACTCATATAACTAGTATAATACTATCAAACTTTAGGGCCGACTGACAATTGGAGAATGGAGGCACTTAAAAAAACAAAGACGCATGATGCTACAGTCGACCAGTTTGTTTTTCCAACTGTTATGCAAAACTTATATTCATCTGGGATAATTTTTTAAAGTAGGAAAAGAATTTCGCTTTACTTATTTCTGCGGGAAAAATTCAAGAATTTAAATCCAAACTTAAATATTCTTGTTACAATTATAATTATAAGTATTTACTTCCGTTGCTTTCAATATAATTTATAATTTTTACCTGAAAACAATAATTTGAAACAAAGTCGGGAAATTAACAAAACGATTGTCTGTCATCGGCAATATTGACTGAAAAACACTTTTTAGTAACGCTTTCTGAACTACTACCTAGAATATTAAATTTTTCTTCCATCCCACAAATACGAATGTAAAGATAATTTATTCAAAAATTAAACCGTCGACAAGCACTTCCTGAAAACCAATTTCATTATCAAAAGGCTTAATAGGATTTTATTTCTCCTTACATTAAAAAACCCATCACCAGCTTGAGACGTCTCTGCTTTTGTATAGAATCTTTTGAATTATCTGACGTAAAATTAGGTTTCTTCCACACCAATAGATGTTGTTCAATCAGCGTTCTCTTTATAACTAAGAGTGCTCCCCCGTTAAATTAATGTTCATTCAAGATTCCCATTTTAATAAAACTTGGCCCCTTACAGAATTGTAGGTGTCATACCAATTTCTCACGTTCCGCAGATTAATCGCATGTTTATGCGCGGCATGTATAATAAATAGTTGAGTTCGAAGCGGAAAATCGAATTGTTAACTATCGAAGCTCTTACTGGTAGTAAAAGGAGTTTTAATATGGTAAAAAGCCGAGTTATTATCGAATTTTGTGTGTAGCCGCCCCTTAATGGGTTTGTAATGTGATCAAACGTCAACGCGCTCGCTTATGATTGGTTTTCGTCGGTTAAAAATTATTTAGGATGTATAGCTCGCATTTTAAAGGAAAAAAATTGTAAATGAGTTTTGAATATATAAGGGCCTTTATTGATATTGCGAGAATAATACTCCGCACGTGGATTCAGAAACGAAGTAGCGGAAACCGTGTATTTTGTATTATATAAAAGGAATTTACAGGTTTAATTTTTTTATTATAAAAAATTGGGAATTCGAATGAATTATTACTCTAAATTTATTTTTAAACTTTGTCCATCTGCCTGCACATGTCATTCTTATTTCAAATGCACGCTATAAAACGACGTTCAGAACATATGACAATACTGCTTCTATAGAAACGATCGCGACGGCAGAACCTAAGCTTACTATTTTTGACTTTAATTCTTGTTACACGCATGTAGGTGTAAGTCCTGATGCAAAATTCGCCTAAGTTTGAAAAGGTATGTACCTTGTGAACCTTTAAAAAGCTCAAGAATATCATCTGCAGATATCTATACCTACCAAAATATGGAATGTTTTATGTATATACATTACGTTGTTGCTAAGTTTCTGGTTCTCCAAACGATTAAGGAAAATTTAGTATAGGTAATAATGGTGATAATGCTCCACCCATATTAAGACCTGGCTTTTGTTCCTAAATTTTATTATGAAACATGAAAAGATATTGATTTAAACAAATATCAAAGACTTTGTAAAAGTTGTTAGCATCTGAATTACTATAAGTTCAGAGTCAAAAAACATTTCTCTTTAAGTTTCATCGACTGGTATACTTGGAAAAAGATTTGTAATGTCAAAACTAACTGGAAAACTTTTATTTGGTAAGTGGATGTCTTTAATCTTACTTATTAAATCTAAGGAATTTTTAATAGAAAATTGGGATTTGAAATTTATGATCCCTTTGAATGTTTTCTTAAGAAAATTCGCTAACTTAGTACCTTCCCTTTCAATATTTAAGTCAGTCGATACATGGAACTTTATGTCATTGGGTTGAAAAATGCCCCCCCCCCCCCAGACTTGTATGACGGAAATACACGTTTTGAAGCACCAGGAATCTGAATTCAAACAAAATGCCAATGTTATATTTGTCTGTGCTCTCATTTACAGGTAAAGGACTGAACCAATTGGGATCAAATTTGGTGCACGGGCAAGTTGCTGTTGGGTGTTATGTTACTAACGTCGAAAATAGAAAAGCAGTTGTAACATCGGTTACATTGCATGACACTGCGTGTTTATTCGATTTGATATCAGACCTTTGTAGAAATTTTGGGATTCAATGTCTAATAAAGTAGCACCCTCTTTGAGAATAGTTACATGTCTACCTACCTAACATTTAATTAACGGAAGCTTGGGAACGTAAAAGACGTTTCGGAATGTGAAACATTTATTTAATCTAAAATCTTCCAAAAGAAACATTTTTCCAATTTTTCCCAATTGTAGGCGTTTAAAATATAATACTCATTTCGTAAAGGTATCTCAAATGTAACCGAAACACGAGCCCGATATCAAAGAAATATAATTAAAATCGCGATTACACTTCTTATTAAAAAAGTTTTCAAATACAACCGTTCTTTTAAATTCGTTTGTCAATTAAATCAACACAAAGGGGTGCTTTTTGTACGACTGGAAATTACTCAGCCCCCAAGTTCAATCAAAACGCTTGTTAAGGAAATTGAATCCGCTAAAAAAAGATTTAATTTTATTACGTAATCTCTTCGCGTCTACAGCCACGCCAATTCGAATCTTCTTATACACTTTGCACGTTTTACGCAATTCGACGTATGTTTTCACGTAAATAAGAGAGGTACGAATTTTTTTGCGCGAAAAGTCAAAAAGGGTTCCCCATAAATATGTATTAACTTTCAACGAAGCCTGTTTTTTGTAAATTGGTAATGCAGAAGTATTCAGTTATTAAATATTTGTACACGCTTTGATTGTATGTGTTTAATTACATGACTATATTTACGTAACCAGATGTACAGTGACCGATTTGTGTTACTTGTGAAACGAACGATTAAATAAACGAGGCAAATTCATCATGTAACGTGTGTAGCACTTTGTTTAATTACACGCATTTTTTTCTGATCGGCTTGGCACACATTTGAATGGGTGCTCTACATATACTACCAACCATAACGTATTCCTAATAGCGTGTAACGATTCAAAAACTGTGAACTCTCTCGGAGGTTCGATATAATTCACATAAAAGCAATGGTTGCATAGTTCTGTTAACATTTTGGGAAAAGCAGGGAAAGAGAGAACATTGGTAGTGAATCTATGTGATCACACGCAAGAAAACCATACAGAAAATACAAACGCGTGTTTTTCATGAAGTGTAAATCGAAAATTCTGTGACTGAAATTGTGATGCAATGGTGGGATTGACCCAAGTGTATTTTGAGGCTGACACTGTACAGGACCAGAAAACTGTACCTTTATCCAAGGCGCTTTTCTTTTGTGTCGAGAATCGTATTGGGTGACACTTCATTAACTAAGAGCTGAGACGTTAGTTGAGAAAGCATGGAATTTTAAGTGCCATCATCCATATTTTATTAATCTCTGGCAATTGGATTCAATGAATTGGAGATTCTGGAATAATTAGTGAACGGATTGGCATAAAAAGTCCAAAAGGGAGGATATAATTGCGTTTTTGGTCTTTACCGTAAGTACCGCCATTTGCATTTTCCGTAATTAAAGTATACCTTTTCTTGAGGTTTCGGCTGATATTTGTCATATTACTATTTCTATCGACCATTGTGCCATTCATTTATAATTAGCCCTCTTATTTAAGAGGTATGTACATCTTAGCGTATCATGAAAGAGGGGTTACCTTTGATTTTCTTTTAGGGTTTTAATTGTAGGGTTCAAG